TATCTCTTAATAACTCCCTAATACAATACTTTTCGCTAAGGCTCCGTCGGCCGTTCGTCTCACAAGGCAGTAGAAGTGCTGCGAGTAAGAATGCTATAGCTAGAATGCTAATAATAGAAAGTTGTCAACCCTTTACAATGAAATAAATGCTTCTATTTATACCCGCCAATGGGCAGGTGGCTATGCTGACGTGGAGGCCTGCGGACCGCTTGTGTCCCAACCACCAAATCTTCTGCATTAAATGCACTTCCCGCCAGAATCTAGGCTTCCCGCCTAAATAATGGGGACGTTCGTCCGCCAGGGGGTGAGCTGGGTCACTCCAAGTGACCCTCAAGAGACTTCGGCTGTTCGTCCCCTGCCCTTGGTGGATTCTCTCCATGTGGACTGGATCTCCTCCGACGATCATGGGCCTGCCCAGGAGACGTTCGTCGTTATCCCTGATGGCCAGTGGTCCTGCCCCTTACCTCTGCACATACGTTCGTCGCGATGGGCCGTTTGAACCTGGACCCCCCAATTCCAGACGTTCGTCTCTTCCCTAGGGTCATGGGCCTGCGCCCAGCCTGGTCCTAGCATGACGTGCGTCCGATAGAAAAAAGGGGTTAATGGGCCGGACCTCGGCCTGGGCCATTATCCCAACAGCCGCCAAAGCAATTAACAACCTAATGGTTGTAATTCGAGCAACCGGCGCATACGTGTCAAAATAGTCAATTCCGGGTTTTTGTCTAAAACCTTGAATGACCAACCGAGCCTTGAACCTGTCAACAGTTCCATCCACTTTCATCTTCTTTTTGAAGATCCATTTGCAACCTAAGGGTTTAGAACCCGGTGGCAAATCCGACAACACCCAAGTGTTGTTCTCCATAATTGATGACATTTCATCATCAATTGCCTCCTTCCAAAAGGCAACATCTCGGGATTCCATTGCCTCTTTAAAGGTCTTTGGATCATCCTCAACTTGGTAACAATATGAATATTGTACCCCCGTTTCATCCCTTGAACCTTCCACTAAATACAAGTGAAAATCGGGACCAAAGTCTTTCACGATGCGGCCTCGTTTGCTTTTCCTTATTTGTGGTGCTTCGGGATTCAAAACACCATCCAAACATTCTGGAACTTGCACCTCACTAGTGCCTGGAACTAGGTCCTTTGGTCTTTGAATTGATGAAAATCTCATCTCATCAAAGATCACATCCCGAGACTCAATCACGGTGTTAACCGCTACCGCATCATTAGGTTCTATTACATAAAACCTATAAGCCTTGGAATGTTCAGCATACCCTATGAATATGCAATCAATTCCTCTTTCCCCCAAAGTTTTCCTTTTGGGCTCGGGCAATTTTACAACCGCCCTACAACCCCAAACCCGAAAATATTTCAAATTCGGCGCTTTCTTGTACCAAAGCTCATATGGGGTTGTCTTGTTCCTTTTATTTGGAACCCTATTTAGAACATAGCAGGCCGTGAGCATGGCCTCTCCCCAAACCCTTCACTCAAACCCGAGTAGGAAAGCATGGAATTAACCATTTCCTTTAACACTCGATTTTTCCGTTCGGCCACACCATTTTGTTGTGGTGTATACGGAGCCGTGGTCTCATGAATGATTCCAACAGATTGAAAATAATGGGGATCCATATATTCTCCTCCCCGATCAGTCCTAAGACATTTAATTGGATTACCCAATTGCAATTCAACCTCGGTTTTATACACTTTAAATTTCTCTAAAGCTTCATCCTTGGTGTGTAATAAATACACATAACAAAACCGAGTCGAATCATCAATAAAAGTAACAACATACTTTTTATTGCCAAGGGAAGGAGTTGAGTGAAAGTCACATAGATCACTATGTACAAGATCCAAAATAGCCGAATTCCTTTCAACATTAGGAAACGGTTGTTTTGTGATCTTAGTAAGCATGCAAGTCCTACACTTATCATCATTAATATCAAAAGCAGGAATTAAACCATCTTTAGACATTTCATGCATTTTCCTAAAATTAATGTGAGCTAATCTAGCATGCCAAATCATACAATCATTCATGGAAGATGCCACAAAAACAGAATTATCACTAGAAATTAATTTATTCACAACATTTAAACGAAACATGCGATTTGATAAATATCCAAAACCAACAAACACACCACCCTTGGACAGAATATATTTATCGGATTCAATCACTTGTTTGAACCCTAAATTATTCAACATACTTTCCGAAACAAGATTCTTTCGAACCTTCGGTACATACAAAACATCAAACAACGTAATTGTTTTCCCAAAAGTAAATTCTAAAACAACTACACCCTTTCCCAAGATAGGCACCATTGACTCGTCTCCCATGCGTAATAAGGAACCAACCTCCACTGGTTCTAGGTCTTCAAACCATCCTTTATCCTTACACACATGGCTCGTAGCCCCCGAGTCAATCCACCATGCACAGTCATCATCCTGTACATAAAAAGATTCTGGAATGAGTGATACATAATTCTGGACAGAATTATCAAAGTTAGTCAGGAACTGACCTCCTTTCCGTGGAACCTGGTCCTTAGACTGTTCCTGTCCACTGCCACTCGTTCCAGCGCCATTCTTGTTCAGTTTCACACGGCAATCACGCTTGACATGTCCAACCTTTTGACACCTCCAACAAACCAAACCTTTCGGTTTCTTGTTGGGTTTGTCATGGTCTTCATACTTGCGCTTTTTGCCTTTCCCCTTATCTTTCGGGTTAGATTTATTATCCTCAACCAAGTGAACATGAGCCATTATAGATTCAACTTCACCCATAATTTGGTCATTCTCTTGCACACGAAGATTCTCCTCAATGCGCAAGTGACTCCCAAGTTGAACCAAGGACAGTTCCTCATCTTGATGTTTTAAAGAACGTTTAAAATCCTTCCAAGAGGGTGGAAGTTTGTCAATTATACTCGACACGGCATAGGACTCATCAACACCTATCTTGTGGAGTTTAAATTGACCAAGAACACGAAGGAGTTCATTGTATTGTTCCATAACCGGCCTTGAGTCAACCATTTTATAATTATTAAAATCACTCACCAAGAACTTCTTACTAGAAGCATCCTCGGCGATGTATTTTGACTCAAGAGAATTCCACAATTCCTTCGCACTCTCAACGTTTTGGTAAATATCAAATAACGCATCGGACATACCGTTAAGGATGTGGCCTCTACATATGTAGTCATCGTTCTCCCACTTGTTGCGCCTCCTAGTTTGTTCCAAGGTTTCATCCTCCATCACTTCCGGCATTGGAGTGCTCAACACGTACACAACCTTCAACGTGGTGAGAAGAAAGTGCATCTTCTTCTGCCATCTACGGAAATCGTTCCCCTGAAACTTGTCCAATTTGTTGAACTTGGATGTCATCTCTTCCACGGTACTCATGATTATCACAAAGGAATATCAATTCAATTGTTGGGGTTTAAATCACGTAGGGGGTGATAATTTGAGTACTTGGATATCTTAAGGATCGTGTAAGTTCACTTTCCGAATTGATATTTCTCCCCTATGCCTGGGTTACAAGAAATTCAATCTAGGATAATCCTTAAGGACACTCTAGAACTCAGGCACAAGAACTAGAGCCAAACTAGTGAGTATATGGTTTGTTATCTTTAATTTGAGTGCCAAAGTGATGAAGATATGTTGGATATTATTCCTCTCCTCCTCTGTACGAAATATGGTGATATATATCCATATAACTCGTCCTAGGCAGTTGTAACACGATTAAGAATAACCGCATCAGTTTTTGGAGAACTGCTGGAAACTGCCTAACCGTTCTAGAACTCGGTCTAGAACCACAGAGCTGGTCTACTGTAAGTTATACCTCGAGTTCTACCTCGAGTTCCACTAACGTAGACACTTTGGAACTAAACTAGTTCTTATATACAAGTGTGCACTCCACACCTACTAACTTGTATTAGATCATAGTTCTAATTCCCATTGGCACTCATGTCATTTCCAATTACACAAAATGGCCGGTGACACTAAAATCACCAACAAATAGGGCCTAAAACTCCGGATCACAGTAGCCCACATTCCTAATTCACTCATGCCAGAAGGAGTAGCGAGAACAAAAGAGGCATCAGTTTCCACCTGAAACCCAACAAAGCCCAAGTCTACTGTCCAATTTGTAGCTTTCACCAACGCCAAGAGTTCAGCCTCATTCTACTGTCCAATTCTATCACATCTTTGAAATTTTTTCAGCTGTTTGCATCTTTGAGATTTATTTTTCATCTTTCAAATACTTGTAAGTTGTAACACGTTATGTTAACAACCCTCATTATAAAAAGTTTAAATTTACACACACAAATGTTGAGAAATTATATTGATAACGTTATATTGTAGGGAGAAACCGAAGGTGATAGTTTCCATACAAACTAGCTAGTCTGATCTCTGATGGAGTTTAATGTCCAACTACATGAGCTAATTTATGTAAACAATGGTCTTGTTTGGCAATCGGCTGTTAATTAGCTGTTAGCTGGTTATGACAACTGATTGGAAATAACTGGTTGTGTCAGCTGTTTTAGTTGGCTGATCATATATATTAGCTGGTTGTCAGCAAATGTTTGATAACTTAGTTGTTTCAGAACAGCTGTTTGCGTATTTAATTTAATTTGATTTATATAAATCATTCACATTTTAGAAATTTTAGGACATTAGCATATTTTAGAATATATTGACTTTTTTTTGATAATTTATAACTCACTTTTATTGTTAGAAATTTATAAATTCACATAGGTAACCTATAATTATAAATTATTAAATCATATTATAATAATACAGATATTCAATAAAATATATCATCCGATAATTACTAACGTCAAGTAACTACATGTTCATTCAAATTCTATTAACGAAAAGAATATTCATATAGCCATTTTTAATACGTAGTACATGGAATAATTAATTAAAGTCAATTTATAAACTAGAAAGTAAGATAAAAAAAACTAGAAACAAGCCAATAAAGGAATTTCTTTTGTAACAAGGTGACTTATATTCATAATAAAATATTCAGCGGGAGACAAAAGAGATAAAGGAAACACTTCCAGCCACCAACCCTCGAACCAGCTTGAGAACCAATCACCCTAGGCAGAACAATATGGTTCGCTTGTCCTGTAATGGGTCTAAGTGAGCCAAACGTGACCAGAGCAAAACCCTCATCACCCCTACCTAATATAAGAGTCTGACAGAAATAAACGTATGTAACAAAGAAAACAAGCTGACAATCGAAGTAAAAAACACAAGCAAACTAAACCAAAAATAGAGATAGCCTTCCAAACCCTAGTCTCACAGTTCCTCCATGGCGGCGGTTGAGGATGGGGACGAATCAACATCTTTTCATCTTCTTTTGCCCATACTGGGTCACCACCACTGGCTCTAAATTTCTCCGATCCTAAATCATTTGCCCTCCTCATGATCCCGGCTAAGCACTGCTTAGTAGCAGAATTGTCGAGGCCCCTATCGATCCAGGTGACGATGCTCATGACTGAATATCCAGGCTATGTTCGAACAAAGTCGAGCAAAAACTAAAGCGAGAGTCTGCTTCCCTTCCTCCGTCGGACCCTCTGTCCGAAGAACCCACCGAGGCAAAGCTCTCCCCTCACCGAGATATCCGTAGAACCGCTGACGCGAAACCCTCCCCCTCGATCGAGGTAGACGGCATAGCAACAACAAACTGACCCTAGAGATCCTAGGGAGACGTCCGCTATGCTAATAAACGAATTATAATAAACAAATTATAGAAACATGCAAACAAATTAATAAATGAGGACTAACGAAAATCTAAAAGCCTGCCACTAAAAAAACAACGGTGTAGAAGAGTAGAATACCTTCACCCCCAATTGCTCAAAACGAGAGCAACTAAAGAAATATTTTTCAAGCAGCCGCAAATATGGAGTACAACAGAAATTAATCGACCAGCCGATAGGAAACGCTGCCATGCCCAGAGTTTTTCATTTTGGCTTTTGGTGTTCAAACAGTTAAGAGAATAATCTGTTTACCAAAAAATAAAAGTTATTGTTTTGAGAGTCAAATCATCTAATTGTGGTCAAAGAAACTGAAAATTGGTTGATCAGCTGTTTGCCAAACAGAGCCAATATGTTTTGGAAGCGTGAGGCAGTTTAATGATTGGAAAAACGGACCCCTTTTAGGATAAATACAAGAAGTATTTGTAGACACATGACTACACTAGCCTAAGGAGGTACAACGGGTACAATTAATAGCTATGCGTAACTGATAGCATGTCACGCGCGTAAGTCCTAGGATGAGTCTGACTTCACTAGAATACAGCCAAAGATCAAAGCCTGTTGATCAGGTTGACCTGGAAGTGGGTTACTTTCGCGAGTCATGGTCCTCTATCAGACCCAGTTGGCTTTATTGATTAATTAATCGTGATTAATAAGTTTAGCTTATTAGTTCCACTCAATAGGCTTCGCGTGTGTAATCCTTATTTTGGCTATGGTCACTATCCATGGTACCATCAAGGTCTAATGAAACAAGATGGTTACAAATATCTAAAGATAAAAGAAAATCTAAAAGGTGTAAATATATGAAAAAATAACATCTCATAATAAAGTTTTTGTTAGTTCAAATGAAAAAATACTCCGTATCTAAAAGATGTAAAAATAATTATGAGATATTTATTAAACAATTGGATATATTACAAAATTTAATCCTAAAAATTCTACCAATTGGATATTCAGATTTTTGTAATAAATACAGGGTATTAGCTTAGACTTATATTGATGATTGACGGATCGGAGCATGATTACGATTAACCTTTTCACCAAAAACGGTCTTCAATTTGTGTCTATATGAAAGGTCACCTATCTTTATCTTTATACTACGTATAATATAAAGTAACAGTCTCTGCACAATTGTTGGGAGGAAAAATCCCGCCCAAAATAAGGGTAAAAATGTAATTCAAGTTCCATAAAATATGCACCACCCAAAATTGCCGCCCAACAGTACGCCTCTAATAATTTTTACATAATTTGATAATTATACATTTATTACTCAGGGCATCCACATCCATAGATTATTTTTTAGATCATTTTGATGATGTGGAGGATTTTTTTTGGGATCATGAATGATGAGTTGAGATTATTTTATGAGATTATTTGATAAAATAATCTTGTATCAAATTCTAAAGCTGGATTATTTTGAGATTATTTTCAAATTCTAGGCATATACTCATAATTGTGGGGATGACTAGCTTTGTAGTCCGTGCATGCTCATGCTTCTATTCAAGATCATGAATGAGGAGAAATTTATTGGTTTGGAGATTATTTGAGATTATCTTATGTGGAGTTGACATGACAATAATAAGCCATGAAAAACCGTAAAGTTGAAGATCATCAATGTGATTGCTCTCACATGCTCAAATCTTACATACGTATTCCATGTCAAATGAAGTAGCCATATTTACACCCCCATGTATAAAATTTGAGCAAACATTCAATTACATTCCTTTTATGTTTGACCGCACTATGGATGTTTTTACTTGGACTGTAATTTGCCCCAGACCAGACCAGACCAGACCAGACCAAACCAGACCAGTTCAGACCAGACCAGACCAGACTTGGATAGTTATAAAAATACAAAGAAACCAGACCTTACCAGACCAGACCAGACCAGACCAGAACAGCAAATTACAGTCCACTTTTAAACTATAGAAAATGAAAAAATGAGGTTTTTAAGCAAAAAAAAACTGAAATAAAATTTATTTACAAAAATACATGATGATGATGATAATATAATGATGGTGGTGATGATGATGATAACCATCATCATAATATTAATAACATATGTGTGTAAATAGTGTCGAGAATAAGCAGAATAATTAGTTTATATATGCTAAGAATTGTCTTTAGACAATACGTAGTATAACGTAACAATGTTAGAGCAACAATTGAAGAGAAGAATCCTTTCCAAAATAAGGACAGGGAATCAATGAAACAACTAAACTTTGGTAACTAAACTAAATTTCGAAGAATTTAACAATTTTGAAATGTGTTATCACAACAATTTCGAAGCATAACAAATTTGAAACAACAATGTTGAAGTATTTAACAATTTATTACTAAAATGGAAATACGATAACACTTTTAAATTAGGTAGTGTATGGCTAATGAATAAAAAAGTAATTAGTTTTGTAAGATGTTCTCATTCTTAAAATGGTAATAAGCCATTTACTAATGAATGAATGGTTAGAGCATCTCCAATGGTACAATGTGCACGGTGCACATGTGACATGAGAGATATAGACACAAAATATTGATTTTATGACATTTCTCTCACCTTCTTTTCACGGCCTTATGTGTTTTTGGTAAGTTTTTGTCTGCAATGTCAACCACAATGTCTACATCTAGACATTGTGCTTGACATTGTGAAGAAAAACTTACCAAAATGATGTAAGATACTTCAAATAAGGAGAGAGATAATCTATATATTGTTTTTTAATTGGTTATTTTTCATGCCACGTATGCACCATTAACGTTTTAACATTGAAGATGCTCTTAGAATAGGACACGTATATAGACATATAGAAACACATGTCATGTGTATAAAATAATATAAAATGGCAGCAAATAAATGATATTCAAATCTAAAAAGAAAGAAGTAGTTATGATGTTTTCAGTCCCAGATCAGACCAGACCAGACTAGACCTCCGTAGTTATAAAATACACAGAGACCATACGTTTACCAGACCAGACCAGACAAGACCAGACCAGACAAGACCAGGTCAGACCAGACAAGACCTGACCAAACCAGCAAATTTCAGTCCAAATGAAAACATCCTAATATGGCAAGAATAATACATGTGCTGCTCCAAATAAAGTACACATACCACATTGCTCCAAAAAAATACATGTATCATATACTCCCTCCGTCCTGAAATTTTTTTGTCAAATTGATTTTTCTTGATAAATGACAATCAACTCTAATCAATGATATTTTTAAATACGGAAATATTTTAAGTATGAAAATTATTTCAAAATGTACGTTCCTTATTCAATTTATTCTTAAAAGTATGAAATTTATAAATTATCTACTATCTGAATGATGTGTAATCACTTTAAGCATATTTTTTTCAAGAAAAAAATTATTGTCCAAAGTTTGTCATCATTGATAAAAAAAATCAATATGTTGAACCTTTTTTAGATGGAGGTAGAAATTTCTATTAAAAAAAATTCATTAGGAAAGTTTACAAATAGACTCTTCTACTATTTTCAATACATCACTTAAGGCATTCTACTTAAAAAGTATCATATAAGTCATTTTTTCCTGCTATAGCAAGTTATTTTTTTAAAAATTAAATAAGGAATATTGATAAATCTAACAAAACTTTATATAAATTTGAAAAAATAATGTAATAATAATAATATAAAAATAGTATAAACATAAAAATAGATAAATAACTTTAAAACATTAAAATAAAAATCTAAAAATTTAAAAGTAAAGTGAAAATTGAAAATATAAATTAAAAATGTAAAAAGCTTTTAAATAGATGTAGAATATACAAATAATTTAAAAAATCCAACAATATTGATTTGGACATTCTGAAAATTTCACAATTTTTATATACATTTATTCAAATTGTAACAAAATTTGAGAGTTTTTAAATATAAAAAATATGCCATTTCCAGTTAAAAACTGATTAGATGGCCATATTGATCAATTTGTTAGAGTAAGCGTGTTTATATGATACTTTTTTTTAGTACAGGAGCTTAGCTTATAGAGTCGTGAATTCGAAATGGTAAAAGAGCTTAATTGACCTTTTTTCCAAGGTTGTATATATAATTAACCACATATTTATTCGGCTCATCCTAAAAACATGATGTTGGATAATTGATACCCATATTGTATGAAAAGGGGATTGAACAAGAGTGGAGAAGAAATGATGAAGAAGAAGGAAATATGTATAGAATGAATATTGGTTATATGAGTTACAAGCCCCCTATAAGGAGTATATATAGGGAAAATCCGGGTCTGGGCCTATAATATGGGCCTGACAGACCCGGTTACATAAATGGACTGATAGTATAAAAAGCTAATCTAGAACATCTGAATAATAATAATAATGTACAATAATATTAATGATATCCGTTAAACGTGTGTGGGCCGCTGTCCAGGCCTAGTAGTCGGCATACCGGGGGGTCGGAGTCCATATAATCCACCAGGAGTCCCCCACTCCCCGAGTCGAGAGTACTCGAGGCGAAAGGGAGTAGTCCAAACTGTATCTGCAACGTTCTTCCTCTTCGGCCGGGGGACCACCACCCTTGTCCATTATAGGGAGGTGCCTCGTTAAAAACCTTTACTAGGAAAAACCCAGTGGGAAAAAATCCTAATAAAGGGAAAAAGAGTACACCTAGCGCCCCCAACATGAAACAAGGAAGGTAAATCCCCTCCGGCACAATCAACCTAGCTCAGCTCCTCTTCAACTGACTCAGCTCTCGTTCCTGCTCTTGCGTGATATTTTCTGCTCATCTAGAAACTCTGACCCCTCAGTTCCCCAGTCCCCACTCTTTGAGGCGAGTGGAGACGAGGTGAAAATGAGTAAAGTCATCTTCGTACCTACACATTTATCATACATATAAAAAAAATTTCTTGGGATTTATGTTCCCGATCGGGAGTTCGTCACTTGAAACAAGTGGAGATGTGAATTGTTAATGTAATGATAAAATACTTAGTAGAATGGATGTGTGAGCCATTCATAAGCAACGGTCGCCACTCAAGGAATGACTAAGACCGGTCTTCGTACCCGACTTGGTCGGGGTTTTGTCTTCATGCCCGACTTGGTCGGGGCTTTGTGCCTGAGGAGACAGAGCTTTGTGCCCGAGGAGTCAGGGCTTTAAATCCTAGTGATGGGTCTCAAGCCACACTCTACTAGGTATTTGATCATAAGTGCGTGATAGTGTGATATTTGCCCAACAGAAAATTGATTTAAATAAACATATAAATAATATGTAAATTAAAGAGGACTTATCTTT